ACCCTCATATAGCCTGACGTGCTATGACATTTACCTACAGAGGAAGCGTCTTTTTAAAAACAGTACTTTAACCTTGCTAATTGGACGCTTGAGAAATTTCAATGATCAATTTATTTTTTGTCAAACAGGACCGCCAGTGACAAAAAATACAATAAATCTAAATATAATTTAAATATAAAACTTTTATTTGCTTTTATGAACAAGATGGACACTATTATCTTGAGAAAAAATATTTTCGATGAAATGTTTTCATTTTTTAAAGGTTTTAAATCTTATAAAATTTTGTATTTTTGTGTTGGTGCATAATTATCAGGCGTTTTTTTTGTTTTTTTGTTTTTTTTAACAATATTTATTATGCAAAAAGAAACATAGTAATTCAACAATAAAATTTTAAATGATTATTCCGGAGCGTATGGTTATCGACACGCCTTTTTATCACCTGAAAATAAAAGAATATTTTTATTAAAAAAAAAGTAAACAAAACAACAATTTTTATTAACAAATAACTTTCCTATGAAAACGCCTGATAATTATGTACCAACTCAATAATTCTCGAGATCATGTGATATTATTAAGTAAAATCAAATTTAGTAATGATAAATGGAAAAACTTACACACAGTTCAGCGACCCCTAGTATTCACATATTTCAAACTTACCTAAATTTTGCAATAGTCAGGTTTATCGATAAATGTCAACACCTTATAAAGCATCCACCGTCGTGTTAAAAACGTGCTTCTGCGTTATTTTAAATAAAAAGCAAGTAATATTTGTTTGAATTCAGACTAATCAAACTTTAAATCAGTTAATTTTTCTCAGATAAAATTTCAGAGAAATATATTTTATTTTTGAAAGAATTTTTAATAAAGAGAATTATGTTGTGTTGACAAATTTGTTAATATGGTCGATTTTAGTGATTAAAAAATTCCAATCGTTTAAAATCCAGTTTGAATACAGCATATTAAAGATATTAGTAATGAGGCTGTCTGCAGTGGAACAATACACACTTGGTGCTCATCTGATGAACCAGCTTTTCCCAAATAACTGCTTCTTTTGTGGAAGAGGCTCCCGGCAGGATGTTTTCCTACCCAACTGCAATCTTGATCTCCGAGTCTTGGGTAAACCGTTATCTTTTCTGCACAATCACATGAACTTCCCTTCTTGCCTTTCCATACATTCATACAGCACCACAGAGAAAACCTCTACCTTGAGCGGCTCTTGGACACTGTATTAGGTGAACATTAGTATATATAAAAGAAAACCTTGTACTAGACCAGTTTTAACTTTAAAATAAAATAAACTTCGTAAATACCGAAACAAATAGAAGTGCGAGGCACCTAGTGCGGATCGAATTCACTAAGTGATTTAAGTGAAGCTCTTGGTTAACGGTGACTAATACCTCGAATAATGATTTAAAAAAGGAAATGTAATGCAAGTATATTCTAGTAATTAATTTAATTTTAGCTCCAAGGCAAAAAAAAAAAAAATAGTTAATGATGTTTAAATCATTCTAAACTTTTTTTTAACGTTTTGACTGGTTTATTTTCCGCTTGTCAGCCGGTGTTTCAGTTCGTATCTAATAATGTCGAACTAAGTCATTTGTTACCAGTGCATCGACTACGCAGATGGAAATTTTATTTAACCATGTCTAATTTTCATATACAACTTTTATTTATTCATGCACGAATCTGCCGTGGTTAGACTGGCTGGACAAACCTCTTTACTTGCGAATAAACTTGGCTTCAATAATGGCTTCAGTGACATAGATCGACTTATATAGTTAATGGCGGCAGACAGACTGTGTAGAAACCATGTCTTTCTTTCCTTCTCTCACCGTATTCGTTGGTGAAAAACTGTAGTAAATGCTACTTGTTAACAGACGTTTACAAAATATGTTTATGTTTAGTTTTATGAACAGTTTCTTGGTTTTGCTTTAAAAACGTACATTTGAAAAGTAATGTATAAATATATGGAAGCTAGATTATACAAAAATGACTGCAATTCTTAGGTTTTAATGTTGAAAAACAATGAAAAAGATTTTGAAGCAATGTATTGAGCTTCAATAAAACGGAGATCCAGAACTCACAGCTAAAATAGAGGCCAATGAAACATTTAATTAACCTGTTCCCTTAATAGTCCTTCTTTATGTGCCGTGTCCCTTCAGAATGTAGGCGATCATGGCACTCCACATCTTCTTGTATCTTGTAGCTCTTAATAAGTTTTGTCTTTTTATTATTTCTCACAGACTCTGTTCTGCCATCCATTTACTCAAGCTTATCAAATATGTTACTCGCTGCTTTCCTCTGTCCCTCTTTCCCTCAATTTGTCCTGTGAGTATCAGATTTTCCAAGCCCTTCTTCCTCATTAGATGCCCCAGAAATTTTAACTGCATCTTCCCGGTGTTAAGTATAAGTACCACGTTTCTTAGAAATATTTTTTTCGTAGATTAGATTTATTATATAAGAAACATAGCAATTGCATCTATTTCGTTATATTATGTAATAAAAGGTTCAGAATTCAAAGCCTAAGCAGAAGCCACTGAAGTAGTTACAGAGTTAGTTCCCTTATTATTACGTTTCTTGAAATAACTTAGTTTTTAAAATGAATTCCTTGTTTGGTTTTACTTTTGATATCAAACGGCTAAAGTGGAAAAAGAGCTTCAATCCAAGCCTAGCAAATATCAGACACTATTTTAGAATTCAAAACTTAAACAGAAGTTACCGATGAACTGTTTAGTCAGTTAATTCATTTACCATTAGTTTTCTTGTGAAGATTTCGTTTAATTACTCTGAGAATCCCTCATTCTAGACTGCAGTCTTATTTGTTGAAGTCTTTCATGTGAGGCGCCCAGATAAATATATATTTATATATATATTTATATATATATATTATATATATATATATTTATATATATTATATATATTTATATATATATATATATATATATATTTATATATATATATTTATATATATATTTTATATATATATATATATATATATATATTTATATATATATTTATATATATATATATATATATATATATATATATATATATATATATATTTATATATATATATATATATATATATTTATATATTATATATATATATATATATATATTTATATATATATATATATATATATATATATTTATATATATATATATATATATATATTTTATTTATATTTATTTATATATATATATTTTTATTTATATATTTATATATATATATATATTTATATATATATTTATTTATATATTTATATATATTTATATATATATTTATATATATATTTATATATATATTTATATATATATTTATATATATTTATATATATATTTATATATGATATATATATTTATATATATTTATATATATATATATTTATACATTTATATATATATATATATATATATATATATTGATATGATAGATATATAAAAACATCTCCAAATCAACATATAGGCAACCACCAAACATAAATGCCTACTAGACACACACACAGAAACACGCAAACTTATGAATGAAACCCACATAGACAAGCTAAAATTATGATACACTTACATGTATAAAGCAATATTTACGTTTTTTCAGTTGGGCTTGGAATCTGTTAATTTCTTGAAACTTCGAAAGGCCGCATCGTGACTGGCAGTTGTTCGGAGTCTGATCGGCGGTGATGGAATCTAGCCAATTTTGTTTTCGAGGTATTGAATGTAACCAACCAGTTTTTATCCCACTGAAAAATTAGTTTTATATCAGAAGCGAGATCAGCTACCAATCTCTGATCGTCAAGGCTTTTAGAGGTGTGTCTTTATATCGTCGTATCATTGGCATAGATGTTTACAAATGATCGGAGTATATTCTTAGGTAAATCATTTATGTAAATCAGAAAGAGGGTTCGTCCGAGACGTGACTCCTGGAGGACGCCTGCGTTTACAGCCAGGGCCTCGGAGGATTGGCCGTTAATAACTACCTTCAGTGATCTACCTGTTAGGAAGGAATTTATAATAGAGAAAACCCTTCCAGTGATTCTATAGCTGGAGAACTTGTGTAGCAAATCTTTGTGCCACACCTTGCCAAAGGTCTTCGAGATATCTATTGCTATGGTCCTTACGGTATCTCATTAATTCTGTGTGTAATGGTAGTTCGGATATCAGCAGTGGATAGGACAGATCGTCGCACAAGTGGTTGTTCCTATTCAGGTGCTCCACGACCTTCTTGTTGGTTAAGGTCCCCAAAAGCTTACTGATGGTACCGAGGAGACTAATGGGTCTATACTGGGTGGGAGACTATCGGTTTCCCAAAATCCTTTCAAGGCACGGGGCCTCCTCGAGCGGAAATCCGTTCATCGTGACTAGCGGTATTTCGGAGTCTGATCAGCGGTGATGGAATGTAACCAGTTTTGTTTTCGAGGTATTGAATGTAACCAACCAGTTTTTATCCCACTGGAAAGTTAGTGATCGATCGGAAGATCAACAAGCGAATGACGTCGAAAAGTTACTGACAAAAAAAAAAAATGCTATTACTATTTGTAATATTTTTAAGCTGTATTGAAATATATAAAAACAATATGAAAATTATAAATACAATATTTATGTATGTATATTTTTTACTTTTTACAGATTCATCGAATCCCGGAGTTTACCTTTGTGGCTAGAAGAGGGGAACAGTTGCAAGTCGTAAAAGTGACCATCTTTTTTCTGGCCTGAAGCAACGAGAACAAGTTGTTAATAAACAATTTACCAGATTAAAAATAATTCAAGTCAAGAATAAGTAACTAAATAATAATAATAAAAAGGAAAAAAAACGTTAAAAACATAGTAAAGCAAAGAACAAAAATTTCAAGGGACCAAAACTGTTAAACTAAAAGTTACGATATAAATTCTGACTTCTTTCGAACCTTTGCGGCAAAAAAAAAAGGAAAATTCCGTTGCCACTTGATATTAATCGGAAAGTCATTGCACAAAGAGAGTAAGTTGGGTTTTATAAAGCTGTCAGAATGCATGTTGAAGTATCTGTGGCTTTAAATTTTGTCATCTCGTATCTTTACAACAAACTGCCCCGGAGACGAGTGGACATGTTCGGACATGAACTTGAGAAACGAATGAAAGTCAAGTTTAACGGACATTGGTATCCGGATAAACCAACTAAAGGTTCGGCTTATCGGTGTATTCGGGTCAACGGTGAGAAGGTCGATTCGGACATCGAGAAAGCCGCCTTTGAGAGCGGACTGGACATTGGTGAAATCAAATCCTATTTGCCAGCCGATTTGACCTTATGGATTGATCCGTCCGAGGTATCTTACCGCATCACCGAGAAGGGATCCATTAAAATCCTGTACAGCGACAAAAAGGACGACGATACAGTGGATAATATCGACCGTGAGGTTCAGGCCGTGAGTAAAAGCTTCAACCCTGAGGCGCAGTGTTTCAAACCGATCGATTCACTGTCGTCATCGCTCAGCAGCCTAAGCCTCTCGCCATCCTCGCCGACCTCTCCGGCTGGATGGAGCAACACCACCTCACCGTCCGGCGCCCTCTTCAGCTCATCTACTATGACCGGCACTGTTTCTGTTCCCGCCGGTAATCAAAACCACGTGACTGTAGCTTCTTCCAATACCTGTTCTTCCTCTGCCCAATCTTCAGGTATCGTTAACACGGTGATAGCAGTTCCGGTGCCCACAACAGGTGCTTCTTCAGCCCTTCTTGCTCCCAGCCATTCTTCGACCGGTGGGGTCACAAACAGCAACAATGTTGTAACTGCCACCACAGCGCAAGGCACGTCAGCAACGTCCCCCACTGTTTCATCTTCGGTAGTAAACGCATCAAACGGTGCTGCTCCCGCTTCAGGGTCTGGTTCGGCAGCACCAGCGGTGGTTACTCAGTCAACCTCATTCCTAAACAAGCCTAGTCACACCTCACCGCAATTTACAGCTTCTACGTTCGCACAGACCAAATTTGGTTCGACAAAACTAAAGAGTCAAGTAAAACGCCCGACCCGCTTATCACCAATTGAATTCCGGAATTACTTCCGGCAGCGGGCCGCTGGTTCCTCTCTCCAGTCATCTCCCGTGACTCCAACTGGTGGCAATTTGATTGGAGCCGGAAATGCAGTTCCCGTATCTGCTGTAGGGGTACCGTCAACAGTGGGCAACCCGGCTGTGCGGGTGGGTGTTGGTTTTGGCCATCCTACAACTGTTGTGAATACGGTTCCATCACCATCCGCAGCTGGTACCCGTCCAAGATCCCTGTCTCCAAGAGACCCAAGACTTGAATTTCTCTTTGACCATCACCATCATCAGCAACATACTCATCACAGATACATCCAGACTATGAACGGTCAGAAAGCCATTATTGGAACTAATTCGTCTCTTCTTCCTCAGCAGGTATCCCCCCAGTCCCAGCAGCAACTTTCCCAGTCTTTTTTGCAAGCCCAGCAACAAATTCCTTCGCCTCAACCACAGGCCCAACAACAGCAACAGGCAGCCCAACAACATCAACAGGCACCCCTACCATCCCCTTCTTCCACTGGCATGACTCTTCGAGATTTCTATCAGTCCAACCCCGGCCCGGCTAGTCCTTTCAATGCTTCTGGCCCTGTGCCCACAGCAGCAGCCCCAACAAATCTAACTTTCACGGATTTCCTTCCCAACGCTATGTCTAACCCTAATAACATCCAATCAGATAATCAGAAGTCTTTCATTGAAGCACTTAGTAATTTAGGCACGGCTGCCTATAGCAATCAATTTCACCACTTACTAGTCGCCAATTAGGTGACTGATTTCAGATGCGTATATGGAACGGAAAGGTGCTCTAAAGTTTAAAAAAAAAATCATTTGCAAACTAATAAACCTTTTAGTATATGCTTTCTTTTGTAACGACCGCCGTTTTTATATGAAAACAAATCTCTTTTTCTCTCTCCATGAATGGAAGAGTTTTCTGACTTAACCTTCAGACGAGGCTCAGAATCGGAAGATCATGCAGTCTGTTGGTTGATCATAATTACTATATTCTTAGGGTACCTTTTCAGTCCGTATCCGACTCCTCTGTATTTATGATAACCACGAACGAATTAATTAATTAATAAATTGCTGAAAATATTTAAATATAAATAAATAAATCTATATATATAAAGAAGGCAAAAGAAAAAATAAATTCTAAGTATATAATTATTATTATTTTGTATCTTTTATCCTCTTTATATATCTATAAATATATGGAGGTATTTATTGATTTTTTTAATATTATTTTAATAAGAAAGATATATATATTATATATAACAAAATATAAAAAGAAAATAATATAAACTTCTAAGGTGTGCTGATGGACTGTTTTTATTGGATATTGTCCAATTTAATATTTGCGTTCATATATTTCCACCTCCCACAGTTATTTTTTAAAAAGTCACTTCTCCCCTAAGTTGTATTAAACAAGAAAAAATAATTTCCGATATAGAAAACTCCTCGAAATTTTTTCAATCAATTCTTACATATATATATATATATATATATATATATAATGGAGTCATTTTTTTCTGGTTTCATATCATGGTTACTGGTGACGATATTTCCCCTAACCCCAAAGAAATTACGAATGAAAGGAAAGAAACAGTTGCGAACAATTTATTTCTGTCAGCGGATCGACGACAAAAAAAAAAAAAAAATGGCGCACATTCAATACGCATGCGCGTGTCTTTGATAATACTTAAAATTTCGTCACCCGTTTATAAACATTTTTGTTCTCTCTTTCACGCACACAGACAAAAACAAACAAATAACACCCAACCACACAAACAAAAATACTAATTTTTATTGTTTCATCTGATATTTTTCAATTATTGTTCTTTTAAATACTATGGGTATTATTTGTGTAATTGTTGCTTTTTGCTTTTGTGAATTTTATTACGATCTTTTCGTCCGATATATTTATATATGATGTACACTATAATGAATATATATATATATATATATATATATATATATATATATATATATATATACATGTATGTATATATATATATATTATGTGTGTATATATATATATATGTGTGTGTATATATATTATGTATGTATATATATATATATTATGTATGTGTATATATATTATGGATGTATATATATATATATGTATGTCTATATATATTATGTATGTGTATATAATATATATTATGTATATATATACATTATATATATATGTGTATATATATATATATGTGTGTACATATATATATATATATATACACACATACATATATATATATATATCTAATATATATATATATAATATAATATATATATATAATATATATATATAAGTATTTTTTGCGTTAACATTATAGATATACTGACAACTTTTGTGTTTTCAAAAGCACAATCCTGTGTTAGTAAAAATTTTAAAAATTATTTTGTCGTACTTTTATATAAAAAAAATGAAAAAAAAGGAACAAATAAACAAACAAACAAGAAAACTTTTTTTATTTTTTTAAATTTTAAAATGCTTTTTTTAAAAAAAAAGAAAAGAAAAAGGTGAACTTTTATTTCAAATTACATTTTATTTATTCTTTTAGATTTAACTGATGCTAAATTACGGATGTCATTTGATGACACCCATGTTTTTTTTAATATATACGTTTTTAAACACGCACACATTTGAAACAAGCACACGCACGCACATAAACACACACAGATATATATATATATATATATATATATATATATATATATATATATATATATATATATATATAAGCATTTTTACGTTTGCGTGTTTAGTAAGCACGCAGCGGGCAAAGCGAAAACGAGGCTCTTTGGTTAAAACGTGTCAGGCTTGTGTTTAATACATTCGAAATCTCTCTACATTGATTGAAATCTAATTCATTTATGGCGTTTGAGCAATGAAAGCTTCAAGAATAATTATTGAAATAAATAGCATATAGATAAAAGTAGAAAACAGATCGTTGACGTCAAGCAAAACACCTAGTCCAGTAAATTCATCATCATCATCATCGTCGTCATCATCATCATCATTCCCGTTGTCGGGTGTGGTCATTGGGTCACTGCGTTGCTGCTCACCAGACCAGCTTCCTCGATAAATCACTGCTGCGTACCAATGTCTGACTCTCTGTAAATGATCTTCCGGCCTACTCAGTGACACTGTCAACCCTCTGTTTTCCCTCTGTCTGCCTCTTTTTTAGGTTTAATTTGGTGCCACGTAGGACTGGCAGTAGAGAAGGACTGTTGGCTCTTCAGACGTGTCCATAATCATTTCAACTGCGTGTCTCTTTTCGACGGTTGTTATGAGGTCTTCCAAATGGACCCGTCACCTGATCGACACCGTCTCGCAATGCGTCAATTGTGATGCGGTTAGCGTAGATGCCGACGATGGTCTTGTGGCATCTGTTTTCTAATGCTCGATTCTTCACTGTAATTCTGCTCTCATATCTCAAATTGGCAGGCATACACAACAGATTTTGTAAAGAAATTCTCCAACATTAAAAGATAAATTTAAAAAAAAACTATATAAAGCATATAAATACCGTATATTTCCGTGTATAAGACGATCTTTAAATCCCAATAATTACCCTTAAAATTGCGAGTCGTCTTATACTAAAATTCTAAAAGAGAAACCTTAAATTCTGAATGATGTTTGTCGATAGGATAACCTCGACCTCGATGCAATAACCAATAACGTACATGAAAAGATTACTAGCGAGCGGACGATTAATTTTGTTTATCAAATTTCAATAAAATAATCAATGCTTTACTATCTCTTGAAGGATATTCCTCAATGGAAATACAAAATTGATCAATAGATACCTCCTTATGCTTGATTTTGAGGCCACAATCAGCGGATACCATTACCAGCTCCTCTTCTGTAAACGATTAACCAACGTCATCAGGTCAAATGTCAATCGACTTACCGTATATTTCCCTTAAATGCCCCTTAAAAATTGAGGGTCATCTTATACTACAATTCTAAAAAAAGAAATTTTAAATTCTGAGTGATCTTTTGTCGACTACGGTGTGATAACCAACAACATACACGAAAAGATTCACATTATCAAATAAACTGATAATGAAAATAATAAAACAATTTCTACCTTATATATTACTGGTATGACTTCATAATAAATTGCCTATTCGAAGAATAATTCCATATCAATGAAATCAACTTGTATCCATGGTAGCTCAGCTGAGAAGATGTAAACATCAAGTTAGGATTCCACTCACAGCAACGTTTATCTTTCGCTAAACTTTCAATAATCATCATAGTAGTGTTAATTAAGGTAGTTTATAGCATTTAGGTTAGTATAATATTCATTTCTCATTAAAAATTAATTGTTGTTTTGTTGTTAAATAATAACACAATTTAGGACAGTGTTTCCCAAAGTGGGCGATAGTGCCCCTTTGTTGGCTCTGTTATGTTGAAAGCGGGCACTGGGAGTTTTTTTTTTATTATTTATTTCATTTGGGGGTGGGGTGGCGGTGAATATAATCAGGTGGCAGTGGGTAGGTATCCATTTTTTTCAAATTTTCAAAAATTATTCAATGTTGTCTACAAAAAGAAATTTCTGAAAGTCCTGTGGAAAGCTATCAAACTTTTCTTCATTGCTTTTTCCACTTCCTATATGGCTTAATGTGGTTTCAACTTAATTACACAGCTTCTTGATAAACAAAGAAACCGCCTGCAAATTGCAAAACAAGGTGATTTACGATTACTTACAAGAAACATGGAACCTAGTGTAAGAACTTTAGCCAGTAAGCACCAAAGCCAACCATCGCATTGAAAACATTGAGATAGGCTATCAAATAAAAGTTTCTTTTTTAGGATTTTAATCATTGGCATTTCTAATAGAAATGAAAAACAGTATTAACATTATTTTTGCACTAATACGTAAGTGTTATCTTGCTATGAAAGTTGAATTCAATATAATATTCGAAATTTAATTTGACAAGTGGGGGGCGTTGACAAAATGTTTGTGCCCAAAGGGGGCGCTGGTTGAGAAACGGTTGGGAACCTATGATTTAGGATTACAAAAGAAGAAAAAGAATCAGTATTCGCAAGAGATGACGTGATGAAACGTAAACAAAACAATCGTTTCCATTTTCGGGGACGTGTGTAGGAAAAACATGATATAGAATCGGTTTTGTTATTTCGCTTATTTCGTATTTCTAAGAATACACTAAGTGGCAGCATTTCCAATAACCTCCTCTTTATATAATCAATAAGCAGTCGTCTTATACTACAGGTATAGGGTGAATTCACGAAAATTTGCTATATTTTTGGACCTCGTCTTATCTAAAGGTCGTCTTATACGTGGAAATATACAGTAAATAAAAAAGTGCGAAGTCGCATCTCCTAGCGTCTCGTCTGCACTTCACGAGTAAGATAAAATCCAGAGACGAATATGCATTGTGATAGGTCCTGATCTGGCATCTAGTCTACAGTCGTTTTCTCACAGACGTGCCGTGGCTTCCCTCTGTCTCTTCTACAAGTATTCTCACAACAACTGTTCCGACGAGCTACTTTCGCTGGTTCCCAGACTGCGTGAATTTAAGCGAGCTACTAGGCTGGCATCTCGGTCCCATCCTTTCACTGTCGAAGCGGCTAAATGTAACCGTCTCTTCTACTCAAACAGCTTCTTCTCTCGCACTTCCCGTCTGTGGAACTCCCTTCCTCTTGCTTCCTTTCCCGATAACTATAATTTTCCTATATTCAAAGTAATGTCAATCGACATCCGATACCTTGAACTTGTTCCCTGGTCTTCCCTGTT